TCAAACTCGGCCACTGACAAGCCCTGTTGTTTAAGCTGGCAAAACTGCTCCCTTAGCTTCTCCCTAGCAGCTGAAGGCGAAAACTTCTCCTGGAAGGTATTCACAAAAGCCTCCCACACACCACCAACACGACCCTTCTCGTACTTCCACCACTGACCCGCATCCCCTTTCAGTTGGAAAGATGCCAAGGTCATTTTTAAAGCCCCGTCCTCGATGCCAAGCATCTCGAACGTCTTCTCCATCTGTTCCAACCATTCGTAAGCCTTAAGCGGCTCTTTCGGATCCCCCAACAAATTCGTCTGGATTAGACCGGAAGAACTCCCTCTTCAAGAAAGAAGGTCCTGCCTCAATAACTTGATTCTCAGCTCTGAGAATACCCAAAGCTCCCGCTATCTCACGAGCCAAGGCGCCCATAGTCTGCTGACCCGTTGGCTCGGCCACGTTGGCCTGACCAACTCCCTCCTGCACTGCCGAAATGTCGCCCGGTAAAGGCATCTCCCGCCTACCATGCCTGCCACGCCTACCACGCCCTCCTCCTGACATCCTAATAAAGGTAACCAAGACTATTAGCACATTCACAAATGTACCGAAGCTATAACACTCGCGTCCTAATGCATGGACAACAGTAATTCACTCCACGTAAGCACATAATCACGTAAGCAATTACAAATTTCATTTCCGGATAATGATAGTCCCAAGGCGTTACTAGAGTTCCGGTTAGAAATAGCATTGATCAAGTGCCTTTCCAACAAGACTCCCAGAAACCCAAGGATCCAATCAACATCCTAGAAATTAAATCCCATACCCATATAAACACATAAGCATGTTATCAATTTAAACACAGAGCATATGACGCTACACCTAAGTCTCTAACAAGCGAGACAAACCCATTGTGAAACTAATCACTTCCCACGTACCCAAAGTATTCGAACCCGGTAAGCTCTGATACCAAGTTGTAACGCCCTAAAATAAATACATAAATCCATCACTTTAGACATGCATTGATACGAAGAAACTAACCATTTCTATTCATCAGAGTAGTTCTTACAACGGTATTACATGTTAACAATAAAAGCAAATGCCCTATAGGCTTACAACTTTCCAAGTCAACACTTGGTTACACAAAAGAAGAGTACTAACTCTATACAAAATAAGCCCTTGGCTTGATATACATGTAATACAAATAAAACAATCAAAAGAGTCTTCAACTCTCATCATCATCCAAGCTATGTCCTTGGAGGTGGCATGCTACCTATACCTGAAAATAATGTCCCATATAGGGTGAGCCAACGCCCAGTAGAGATATGCTAAACACAGTATGAGCAATAACTAAGACATTAGCAATTGATAAATGTTCAATTTTCACCAATCAGTTCATAATCCATTTCCATTTCATATTTCATGCCATAACAATTTCACAATTTACACCAACGGCTCAGAACCTGGCCACCCACTTGTATGAGACCATAACTCATATTAAACATTTTCCATTTTTACAATAGATAAGCATATTAGTTGTATCAACATCTCAACAGATAAGCATACAAGTTGTATCCACATTTCAACAGATAAGCATATTAGCTATATCAACACATCCAATGATAAGCATATGAGTTGTATCAACACTTCCATAGATAAGCATATGAGTTGTATCATCACATTATCTGACAAGCATATGAGCTGTATCAGTGGAGTCCGTCCCCTATCTCCTCCCAAATAACATCCGATTTAGAGGTACATCCCCTATCTTCCCCTAAACCGTGGAGTACATCCCCTATCTCCTCCCACATACACAATGTATATACACATAAGTCATATACACAATCAATCAATACATAACGTTAATGTATTCTATCAACTGTCATACTCTATGACATAACCAATTGATTAGTTTTAGTTTGTCTAATCATCATGCATTGTCTACAACAATCAAAACTACCCTCCACCGGTAGCCCAAGCAATTATTTCTAAACAGATAATAAAAGCTTCAACAGACAAAATATCAATGTTTTCAAGAGTGAGCGATTAATAAATCCAACTCCACCATTTCATCACATAATGAACCAATTTCATTATTTACAACTCAATTTCATAAAATCCATAACCTTCCCAAATTAATTATACCAATTAATTTATATACAAATTAGGGCATTCTCCCCTATTTTCCAATAATGACCCAATGGTCCATTTTTCATCAACCAACAACCACACCATTATTTTGAAACCCAAAATACTCATTTTAGAATCAAAATAATAAACCCCACCTTTAACATTTTGAAACCCTAAGTCCCAAAATCACCCAACTTCAACACTTTATCAAAATAACCAAAAATCTATGTCAAAGACCATAAGAGTGAGTAGGAATCCCTACCTCAAATTCGGAGCTCAAGGGAAGAAGATGACGGAACTCAACGTGCTCCAAAACTCGAAATTTTTGAATCAAAGGAAAGCTCTCGACGATCAACCCAACTTTTGTAAAGACCAAAGGTGAGGAAAATACTCTAGCTAGATCAATACCTAGAGAGAAGTTGAAGTTCTAGTGAGAGAAGCTCTCTAATGGAGGTTTGGAAAAGTAAGAGAGAGAAATGAATGTGAAAAAGTGATTTAAAACTGCCCAGCTGCCAACTGATATACGACATTCCCGCTCGAGCGGAGAACACAACGCTCGAGCGTCAAGAACAAAAATCTTGACACGCTCGAGCGCAAAGAGGCCCGCTTCAGCGCCAGGACACAAGAACAAAGCACTTCCGCTCGAGCGCGAAAACCAATCCGCTCGAGCGTAGATTTCCCCCTCCCAGAACTTATACCCGGAAAGTGCTATCCGCTCGAGCGCCAACAGACCCGCTCGAGCGCTACCGCTCGAGCGTAAAGAAACCCGCTCGAGCGTAAAAATCACATCGGCAGAAGTTGTTCAGGAATACGAAATACTGGAGGTGTGAGATCCCTGCTCGAGCGCAAGAAGACCCGCTCAAGCGGACCGCCTAAAAACTGGGCAACAAGGAATTAAAACCAAGGCCTAACCAACCTGTAACAACCCTGCCCAAAACATCCTAAAACTCAAACAAGCGGAATTGAAGGACGACAACAAGATAGATACAACTACCAACTTCACGGAACCGAGTCCGAAATATAACAGAACAGTAAAGGGACAACCGGGATCGCTATATTATTGAAATGTTACATTGGAGTGTCACGTTTTTGTTCGTAATGTGAGATTTGTTTTAGAATGAGAGAAAATCCAAAACTTCTGTAATGCGAATTGCCCAAATGTGTAATTTTATATTTGGAGAAATTCACTTTTATGTCTTAAAAATTAAACCCAAACGTGTAAGTGACTACTCTTTATTTAATTTCTACTTTGATGGGACCTTTGAGTTCATAAGAAAAAAGAGAAGACTGAATAGTTCGAAAGATCACATTTTGAGATTTATTGATATTTCACCCTAATAATAATAAATAAATAAATAAATAAAACAATCTTTAATGCAAGTCGTTTTGGATTATTTATTTATTTATTTTTTAAATTAAGTCAAATTAATTGAAGTGGTGATCATAAAATTCTAATAAAATAATTGAAAACACTCTTTGCGAGACAATTTGGTTCAAAAAAATATATTTACAATTGCCTGAGAAAAACAATTCGCTGAGTTGGTTGGGCAGTATTTAAAAAGACTACGGAGTTGAGGAGTAAACAATCAATAGTGTAAATTTCCCCAACTTCCACTGCAGCCCTCAAATTTTACAAAATATACTAATTAATTTTGGTTGAGGTGGTTGGGTAGGATTTAAAAAGACTACGGAATTGAGGAGTAAACAATCAAAAGTAACCCAGGGGTGAGTGGCAACTTGGTAAGGGCCTGGGGTTTAAGCCCCTAGGTCTTGGGTTCAACTCTCCTTTGGGCCAATCTCCTGGACGTAGCACAGTTGGTTAGGAGGTTGACCTCAAGGATGCCTTATTAGCTATTTAGTGTGGGTTTAATTTTCTCCCCTGGTAATCTCCTCGGGGCGCTGCCTTGAATCTGCGGGAAAGTGGGAGGATTTTCCTGTAACCAAAAAAAAAAAAAAAACAATCAAAAGTATAAATTTCCCCAACATCCACAGCAGCCCTCAAATTTTACAAAATATACTAATTAATTTTGGTTGAGGTGGTTGGGCAGGATTTAAAACGACTACGGAATTGAGAAGTAAACAGTCAGTAGTATAAATTTCAAATTGTTTTTATATTTTCTATTTATACTATTATATATTTTTACCGTCTCATTTTGTTAATATATCTTTTTATGTTTGTATATATTCTCACTATTTCATTTTACTAACAAAATGTGATAGTGAAAATATATATTAATATAAATATTAGTTCGAATAGTCCTGTTCAAAATCAAAGTAAAAATAGTGTGTAATTTTATAAAATTATCCCTTATAAGCATCTCCAACGGTAATAGGCATTTTACCTATTTAAACATTACTATAAAGTATATATTTTATTTTGTCTATCAACTATTTCATGTTTTTACTCCAACCATGCTCTTTATTTTAGCTATTCATCTAAATACTATTAATTTTATAAAATGACACATCAGCAACCAAGATGGAGGGAAATGATCCTAATGATTAAATATATTTTGCCTAGCCTTGAAGGCTAGCTACATGTAGCTAGTGAATGTGAGTTGAGCTAAAATGCCTAATCATATGCCTAGTGCATTGGAGTTGAAAAAAATAAGTTATACTAGGCATTTTGACTAACAAGCATAATATACCTAGTGGGTTGGAGATGGGTACTGATGGAATATGGTCTAAAATTAGAATTTAAAATGCAATAATTACATCATGTCTTCAAAAGTTAGAACTTAAACAAACAAAGAGCAACTATAAAAACAGATACCAAATTAGTAGAAGTAGAAGAAGCTGCTAGTTTGCTTCGCATATATATATATATATAATTCAATCATTTCCCTCACCTTGAACTACAAGCAACTATACTAATTTGTTTTGTCTTATAGATGGAACAAATCAACATGCACCAACATGAAGAGTCTCAAGATGACAATTATGGGATGTTTGTTGCTAAATACATGAATCCTGAAATCTACAGAGCTGCAAAAGCAGGTGACATTTCTGGTTTTAAAAGAGAAATAGAAGATAGGGAAGCTTCTCCTTTCAATCAAGTAAGTCCTCAAGAGGATACAGTCCTTCACATTGCAGCGTACTCAGGCCATATCCTCCTTGTGGAGCTCATACTCACACATCGAATCAACCTCTTCTCCAAGAAAAACTCTAATGGCAACCTTCCAATCCATGCTGGTGCAAGTTCTGGGCACCTGTCCACTGTGAAGTCCCTACTTGGATTTCCACAAAGGGACAGTGAAGAATGGAGAGTATCAGCGCTGAAGGAAGTCAATAAGAATGAAGAAACAGCATTACATGTCGCCTTGAAAAATCATCATGAGAAAGTGGCTGAATTTTTGTTCGAGTTATGTCCGTGTGTATCAAGTTATCCTAATAAAGAAGGAAAGTCTCCGCTGTACATGGCTGCGGAAGCTGGTTTTCTTGATCTTGTGAAGCTAATGACAGCTGAAACAGTGGAGGTAGTGGTGATGGACAATTCCACGTCTAGTTCGGAAACCAGATCAGTAGTGCATGCTGCCCTTAGAGGAAGGAATATAGGTAATTTTTCCATTTTCATTGAAGGAAAATAATTTTCAAAACACAAATATCATATAGAAAATACATCCAAAATGATTGACACAAAAGGATACAGCTTCTCTGCAGTTAGGCCTATGGAATATATTATTCATATAAAAAATCAAATTAATCGAAAATTGGTAGCCTCACGATTGGATGACATTTTTCTCTTAAAAAATAAACAGTATGCATCATTTCCAGAATTGATCGTTCATTTTTTCAGAGGAAATTGTGGCTATCAATATTCGATTAACTTGATTTTTGGATGGATAATTGACTCAGCAAGCCTTACAAGATGAACATTATAGATCATTGAGGTGGGCCCAAAGTTGCCCCACAATAAACCAATTGCACGGTGGTGGACTACAGAAAAGCTATATCCTTTTCAAAATTATGAAAATAATGATGGGTGTTTTGATTGAAAATGAATATATCACAAAAAGCCACATCATTCTGGTGGCAACAATGGTGATCATAGTTGGGAAGGATGGTGGTGGTAGGGATGACTGGAAAGGGTGGGAGTTGGTGATGGCTAAGAGTTGATAGTGCTAACATGGGAACCCCAAGGGGTTGGTTTAGTGAGAGTAACTTGGGGCATAGCGGTGTGCTTCATCTAGGTCTCAGGTTCAACTCTCATTATAGCAATCGGTGCTATATATGGGTCACGCCCGCAGGCTCTGTACGAAATTTGCCAGATTCACGTAGAGGGGGCGCTTTGTGTGGGTCTCGAGATTAGTCGAGGGTGCACGTAAGTTGGACCGGACACTTGTTTATCAAAAAAATAGTTGTAGGATGGGGTTTTTTTGGGGTTATTTTAACACTAGATTTTGTGTTTACAAATAATTTTATTAAAAATATTTCAGTCATACAAAAAATACTCTAAGATTACAATTTATACTTCTATATTTGATAAAAAAAAATTCACTTTGGTCCCTATTGTTTGAATTTAAAAAATTTAGTCTAGTTTCAATTTAGTCATTTTGTCTAAATTTCTATTAATTTTTTCTACTTGTATGCCTCAAGAGACCCTAAATTGTTGATTTTAACTTCGAACTTAAACAGAAGAACCACATTAAAATTAGATTTAAAGTGTGGGAATCAAATTATTCAATTTGGAATAATAAGAACCAAAATAAAATTTTGGTCAAACTATTAAAAGTGTAATTTACCCAAAAATTATATGTATAAATATATATATATATATATATATTTTCTATTCTAATGTCCTAGCAAGTGAAATATGTGTCAAGACTGGGAGACTGAAAGTCATACAACTTTCTTGACAAGGAATGTTGGAGTAATTTTTAAGACGTACACCAGACTGCAACTTGCAAGGGTCTAGCCTCCTGGGATTGGAACAAATAATATCTTGATCCTTGCCAGTTTTTCCAACATCTTCTTTGGGAAAAATGTATTTAAGCGAGTGTTAAATAAGATGTTGGTAATAATACCAGAAGAATTATATTTTTATTTGAAAAATCTAGAAATCCCCTAGATGTTGATTTGTGATTATGTATCAATTTTAAGCAGAATATAACAATCCCAATCAAACAATCAAGACAAAGAGACACAACGATTTTAACGTGGAAAAAACCACAATTGGACACCTCCAACTGTGATCAAAAAAACCACGGGCAACAGCCACAAGAACAATCCACTAAGAAGAATTAAAGGAATTACACAGGTATACTCTCAATTACCTAGCGAATCCACAACGCCTAATTGAACCAACCTTTATGTGCCTCTTCCAACCCCATCTTCACCACGGAATTGTCTTCCTGATGAGCCACTCCGGATTCCACCAAAGCTTCAGGCTCGAATTCTTCAGAATCCACAACTGAAGAATAACTCTCTCTTTTGTGTATACCAAACAAACCTTTGATGTACTCTCTTTAGATCATGAGTTGAATACTCAATAAAAACATCAAAGATAACTCCCAAAGTATCCCCAGATATAAACCCTAGAACCCAAAAAGTAGATCTGGAGTAGTAATCCTAAAATCTGATCCAACACGCGAATTTATAGAATCTGTCCCGCGATCTCCGCTCGAGCTCAACATAGCCCGCTCGAGCGGACTGACCAAAAAACTGCGTGCGAACAAACTGAGATGCGCTCGAGCGTAGGAGAATCCGCTCGAGCGTAAAATCACACCTTCCAGTATTTTTACAGGCGACTGCAGAGATGCTGAGAGCTTCCAATCCACGCTCGAGCGCCCGATGTCCCGCTCGAGCGGACAGGCCAAAACTGGAAAATCTGGAAAAAAATAACATGCTCGGACAGGCAATCTTGAAAGCTTTATCATCACAAACTTCTCTGAAATGCTTGATTCGGGTTGGATTCGCATCTAACAACTCATAGCCTCACTGAAATAAAAATGCGAATAAAATTACAACTCAAAGGAGTTTTGTCAAACGGGATTGCCAAGAAATAAAACCTAACATTATTGATAAATAATGCAAAGAAAATGAGATATAGATAGGTCAGGTTGATGCACGGATATCTCGTTTTCTTTAAGAAGATTAAACCTACTGCAGTAAGAACCCAATTACCGATGCAGCTGTCACTAAACTCTAACTTGTCCCCTCTAGGATAAAACAACCCCACCACTTGTTGAATGATTTAGGCTAACTCCGCACAAGATGGTGAACACAAAGCTACACCAAGAAAACAGCTTTCCAAATTTTCTTTACGAAAGTGTAAGTGATGTCATAATAATCTTAAAATTGATCAGCACTGCAATTTAAGAGATAAAAATGACATTTATACTCATCTGTATTGTATGAAGTCACTTTTGCTTCATGTGCCTCGTAATCTTCATCATTCATATCCTTGGTTGATATTTTGTTTGGGTTCTTCTCAGTAAGAACAAAAGCAACTTTCAAAAGGATGAAGTAAAAAATAACTTTTCCTTTTCACCTATTAAAATAGACTTCCTTGAACTTGAAAAGGTTGTTAAGATCTCTAATTCCGTCATTGACTTTTTATGGTACTTGTTCTATTTTGATCTCCTTAAAATTGTTGGTGACAATACTAGAAGAATTATATTTTTATTGATAAATAATGCAAAGAAAATAAGATATATATATCTCATTTTCTTTAAGGACATCAAACACACTACAGTAGGAAAAATCCAAATACCGATGCAGCTGTCACTAAACTCTGACTTGTCCTCTCCAGGATACCAATGCAATCCAACCACTTGTCATATGGTTCAGACCAACTCTACACAAGATGGTGAACCAAAGGTCCACCAAGGAAAATACTCTTCTTTGGCTAGTAATCTCTCAAGTGTAAAAAGATTAGGCGTAGAATGAGTAGATGAAAAAGAAACAATTTATATGCCACAAGGGTGGGCAACGGTTTATCCGATCCGCAAAACCCGCACAATCAGCATACAAATGGGCGGTTTCGCAAATATAATACAGGTGGATGCAGTTTGAAATATGGCATGTTTGCAGGTTACGGGTGGGTTACAAGTTTAACCCACACCCGCAAGAACCCGCCCGCACTTTTTCTTTTTTCTTTTTTTTAATCTTAACCGTTGATTTCATTCTTATATCCCACTTAGATATTTTTGCCCAAAACAAAACACCATTTATTCTTTGAATTTACTCTAGCATTACATTTGCTAATAGTATTATATCAACTGAAACTGAATAAATACTGATCATATTATTATTGTTACATAACTGAACTTGTCCCGGATGAAGTGTGATTTGAAATTTTAAATTCCTTAATGAATATGGAGTTCTAATTTAGGATTCTGAAATATGAGCTTATGTTAGTTTATGATTTGATTTAAGATTTTGAATGATTTGTTTGTGTAACGAATTGATTTTGTTGCGTTTTTAATTTTATAAGTTTTAATTCATTAATTATCAATGTTGGAGCATTTTAAAAAATGGGGAGAAAGGGACCCAAATAAATATTTATAAAATGAAAAAAAAATAAGACTCAAAAATAAATTTTTGAAGAAAAAACCCAATCCACAAACCGCCAGTACATCTGCGAACTTGGGTGTCTAGTGCAAATGAGGCATGTACATGACTCTCACTTAGCAATGATTTTGAGGTGTTCACATTTAAATACAATTTTCCTATCTTTTTTCTTATAGGTTTTCTTTGTTCGGTTGTATTTTTTTGTTTGTCAAACAATTCTATGATCAGATGTCCTGGAAGCCATATTGAAGAAAGAACCGAAACTTACCTACTTGAAGGATGAGGACGGGACGACTGCCCTTTCCTCCGCAATACTTGCGGGTTACCTTGAAGGGGTGCACCATTTACTAGAGAAATTTAGTGTAACCTCGTATCAAAGAGATGGAAGTGGTAACTTTCCTATTCATGTAGCGTCCAGTGAAGGCCGCGTTGATGTTATCTGAGAGATTCTTCAACGCTGCCCTGATGCAATGGAGCTGCTAGGCAAACAAGGACGAAACATTCTTCATGTAGCTGCCAAGAATAGTAAAGTTGGTGTAGTTAATTACATACTCAAAACTCCTGAACTTGGAAAGCTTCTGAACCAAATCGATGAAGATGGAAACACACCATTGCATTTAGCTGCTATAAATGGACTTAATCGGAGTGTGCATGCTTTGGCTTGGGACAAGTGAGTTAACGTAAATTTGAGAAACCATAGTGGCATGACTGCTCTGGATGTTGTTGAGGAGCAGATGGAGACTGAGGTTTCGTTCCCAAAGGTAAATCATTTATCTTATATGTGTGTTGTGCTTATATTGCTGCCGATTATAACATTTTGATACTGCAGAGTCACTCTGCTTTGGGGCTAACTGATGTGGTATTTGGACTAGACCACAGTTCATTCTGACATTTTTACGTCATAAACTATTTTTAAAAGATATAAAATCTTAAATTCATATTTATATATTTAATTTATTTTAGACTCACTTTTTAGATTTAGTGATATGACAGTCTATTAGAATATTTAAAATATCTCTCTCATATCTTATTTAATCATCGATCAATCATCTCTTTTACACGTTATTGGATTTAAAAGGTGAGCTTATATACCATTTTCTAATTTTAATCTAATGTAGTGAATACTTTACCCTGTAGCGATGAATAACATGGCTCATCTTTCAACCTTCCGCTACACGAAAAACTATCAGACCCGAGCTTACACCAGAGTCACCTGCCAAGAAGTACAGAAATAACATGGTCAACACCCTTTTGTTAGTGTCAATGCTAGTGACAACTGTGACCTTCTCTTCTCAGCTGGTTTCACATTGCCAGGCAGATATAAAAACACCTACCCACACGAAGGCATGGCGACTTTGGTGACTAGACATTTTTTTTGGGTGAATAACTAGACTTTCATTTCAAATAGTCCTGATTTCCAACACCATTGCCCTCTATAGCTCCATTATTGCTGCTGTTAACCTCTTTTGGGCACAATTTGCTGACACCAAGTTGGTAACTGGTGCCCTCAACATATCAGGACCCTTGTTGGGAGTTTCTCTTATAATGATGTCTGTGGCATTCATGACCGGTGTATATCTTGTGGTAAGTGACCTTAACTGGCTAGCTAATATTGCCTTGGTCATGGGTTCGGTCTCGCTTTTCATCCTCTTGTCCCGTGCTCTTCCACTGTTTCCCGGGTACATTCAACTACTGCTTTGCCAAACCCCATGGCTAATGCAGTTTGTTACAAAGTTGTATGTTGGCCACCAGAAGAGGTTCTAATTATTCCACAACAATTCACAACCAATAAAGATAACTCTACTACTGTTGCTAAAATATAAACTAAATTCCAGAAACTTCCTAGATAATAAATGTATCTGTAATAAACATCATTATTGACATTAGAGAACTCTTTTCTTAGATAATATTCATTGCTTAGAAGATAGATGCCATCTAGCACAACAATGTAGAACAGGTAGGCCATTGCTTTATTTAGACACTTTTGGGGGACCAAGATCCTCTCAATTATATGGTTGTAATGAAAGATCTCCATTACATCATCTAAGAATTGCGAAATAATCAAGATAAGTTACCATTATTTTTAATTCAGAAAATATCATTAGAAACTAGATAATGTAATTGAGATAGTCCATTAGAACTCTAGAATGGAGAAGATCTCAACTTCTCAAGGGCATCTGCGTGCAAAGTATGTAGAACTGATGCATGACAACATAATAATGTCCGTTCAAGAACATACATTTTTGGTTCATAAGAAGCAACACAAGACCATCAGTATTTCATCCATTACAAAACAACAATGAACATTTTGATACACATAGCCAGAGCCATAACCATCAGGGTAAAACATGCAACTAAAACAAGAATAATCTAACTAGTGCCAACCCTCATGCCTGAATGTGTGGATATGAGAAGCAAGCTTTAATATCTCACCATCACACTCATCGAAACCCAAGCACATCCTAACATCAACATACTCAATTTTTTTTGCAGCCTTTCAAAATCATCACTATATACTGTTGTTCAATGGCTACTTCCTTTAGACCCAAATACACACTATTCAGACCAGTAGCCATCAAAGAAACCATCATAACGAAATGAACTACAATCATCTTCACAGTAATAATTATCCAAACTGGAACCCTTATCCTTGAATGAACTGATATGAGAAGCAAGCTTCAATATTTCACCATCACCCTCGTCGAAACCTTCACAGAAACTAACATCCAGATATTCAAGTTCTTTGCAGCCCTTCAAAATCATCACTAGATTTTCTCTTGCCATGTGTGCATGCCTAAGACTCAAGCGCTTGATGTTTGGCAGTAGGTTTACAATAGCTGAAGCATGACGTTCCTCAATATAGCCACTTATAACAGCAAATGCAACAAGGTTCTTGCAATGAATGACTGTTTCGGCAAGGATTTCTTCCATTTCAAGGCTGCTTCCAAGTACTAAAATCTCCAGAGCTTTCCACTAGCTCATAAGTTTGGGATGATTTCATCCTCAAAACATGACTCATAAGGCATCACCAAAGCCCTCAAGTTAGGACACCTGGTGAATAGTAAACACTAAAGACGTGCAAAAAGTATAATAAAAAAAAATAATTCATATGAAGGTCTTGCATCCCAAATATAATTTTTTGAGTAAATTTCTGTTCAAGAATTTACGCCCGTAACACCACTCAATAAAAAATCATGATAGGATGGGATCAATATATACGACTTTTGATTTGGCATTTTGTGAGGAAATAAAAATAACATTTGTACCATTGAAACAACATTGCAAAAACAATATTTTGACACTATTCATTATTAAAATATAAAATTAATCAGTAAATTAGTTACTGAACAATTAGGGAATCAAACATTGTACATATGGATAAAGTGGGAGATGTTACAATGTGCACTTACACATTGTAGAAAAAGTTTACTTTCCGTGATATAAAAGTTTCGATTTTTGTGATGAAAGTTATGAATTTTGAAATTATAAAGTATATCCTAAAAGTTATGTATAACTAAAGTTATACTTTTTATGAGAGAAGTTATACATTTTGTGAGAATAAAAAAAGTTTCATTTTTTATACGAGAAGTTATATTTTTTTGCATAAGATGCATACTATATACACCCAACCAGGGGTTAAGAGCTTTCTAAGGGTGACACACACTTGGATGAATAAAAAAATGCATAGATATCCTAGGATATGTGTATGAGAAGAATTAGCCTCTCTTTTCTTATTTCCTATATGTACCTAAAAAA